TCAAGTAATAAAAATGTCAATATATGAAGACGTTACCTAGAAACTGCAAGGAAGTTACTTTCATTCACCAAATATCAATTTCCTGAGAATCGGTTTTCTTTCAAAGTCTTAATTTGATCTTGTAATGAGAACCTGTGATGATTTTAAGTATATACTAATAACGAAATCGATTCCTTTGTCCTATAACGACTTCTACGACCCCCCCCCCTCCCTCCTCGGCTGAGTGGTGCGTGTGCAAAACGTTCTCGCATATTCGATCTGTATTTTTTTTTCTAAACGTGACTCCAGTCTGCCGATATCGTTCGACTGGTCTAAATTGAACCTTCATAACCAAATAAGAAGAAATGTGGGTAATCTTACATATAATAATTTTCTTCGTGCATATATTTAATCATATATATATATTTCTTTTCCTATCGCGTATAATATAACTATTTGATGTACTACTTTCTATAATCAATATCTATAACTGTTTTACCGTGGCTTACCTACCCTTTTTATGACAACCGTCCTGAGTTCCCGGTTCTTTTCATGAGAACTCATGATTAATTGATAATATTTCCCTTTCGCACTAGAATAGACGATCAGTCCTTCGATGCGTTATTACGTATGTAGGTATTCTTTCTTTCCCTTGTGAATTAAACACCAGCCAACGTTCGTGACAAAAGACCAATCCATTAATCCAATCAAAAGTTCGACAGGTGCAAGCGAACGAAACCAACGGGGACGAGCAGTTCAACTCAACGCAAGTCAAGACGACGACCGAAAAACTGTCACTCCCTCAACGAACTCCAGGCAGGCACTGGCGAGTGACGAACGCAAACGTGACGGGAGTGTTTGTTGGCGGTTGCTATGGAGACCACGAAAAGGGGGGCGGAGCTTACGGCAAGGTGGCCGGAAGGCGGCGGTCGCGAACTTGTGACATCCCTAATAAGAAGGAACTGGTAAGTAGGTGGAAGGGGGTGGAAACAGTGGAGAAAGAGGGAGAATAAGAGAGAAGAGGAAAAAAAGGAAGGGAAGAAAAAGACTCAGTAAAAGAGAGAGATAAATAGATCAGTAGGGAAAGACATAGATGACAGAGAACATGCAGATAAACTGATAAATCAACAGAAAAATAGATAGATAGACTAAATGCAATTGTGAGACATCAAATACTTAAAGAATACACGAATCAACTATTGTCATAACAAACGCGTATCCGGGTGTGTATGTAAATGATGCCAAAATATGCTTTTAAATCCAAACGTACAAAAGCATTGTTGTTCAACATATAAATCACAATTCTTCTCGTAACACACACACATACACATACACAAATATATATATAGCATATACAGAGGGAGA